ACTATTATATTTTTTAACTTTTTTATTATCAAATCTCAAAGAAATTTTTGTCAATTTTACGGTAGTCTGTGAATTAAAATGAGGAGGAACGATACATGATTACATGACATTGATGGACTTGGGGGCAGAGATTCTCTTAGACAAATCTCACCGTTGGCGAGGTTTTAGGTGGCAGAACGACGTGACCCAGAGCTGAGGATGACTCGACGTGCCTTTGCATCCACCGTCTAATTTGAGCCATGAAATTAAATATCGCCATTAACAAATTTCTAATGCTAATTTTTCATATTTCAGTAATCATTTAACTCTAATCAAAGATTTAAATTAATAAGCTTATTTTTAGAGGTCAAAGTTTTATTTAATCCCAGTTTTGAAAGTATGACGCAACATACATATCCTTACTAACGTACATGTCAGGGCAAACGAAATACAATTTACGTATGACGGACAGATTAAGGAGGCCGTGTTTTTTCCACGTTTGTACAATGCTAAGTCTAATTCCTACTATCTGTACGCCTACCAATGCCTACCCTACTCCTTGTTTATGGTCCATATTACCAAATATTATCACGCTAATTTATTGACAGAGAAACTAATATTCAAACAAAAGCAAATAATACCATTTTTAGTCATCTATTTTATTTATTAAAACTAATTTCTTTTTCTATAAACTTATTATTTTAGTATAGCAATTAGCAGATTGTAACTAAAGAAGTAATGTTTATGTTCACTAAATTAAAGTAATTATGAATATATAATTTATGAAAAATTATAGTATCCTAAAATTTAAAAAGTGTCGATCTTAACGTTATTTTATCGTAGAATATAATCTCCAACAGCAATCATGAATAATTAAAAATATAATTATATATCTACTAATTATAAGCATTAAATTAAATGTTGATTAAACTAAACTCATTTATTCAATATTGGCTGCAATTTCAACATAACAAATACTTTTCCAAGCATATTTAAAGATATAAAATTTATTACATAAATATTCACTTCGATGAATTTCAACATTGATCTAAATTACAAAAGATAAATTCTAAATTGCACTTAAAACAATTTACATTTACTAACACTTTATTATTGAATTAGTTTGCATTAGTATAAATATTTTCTAATAAAAATAGATTTGTTAGTGTAAATACTCTGAATTTGTACTAAATATATTATACTAACAAGTAGTTTTATTAGCATAGAGCATTAATATATACTATACACAAACATAAGTATAATACATTGTTTTTATAGAACTTTGATTTTTCACTAACAAATTTATTATTATTAAATAAAGTCTATGCTAATAAAGGTTATCCTAACACTTGATATTTTTTGTGTTTTAGTAAATAGTATTTTTTTTTTTTTTAGTGTTATGAGCTATCCTCGGTGAATCCAAAAAAAATAAAAATTTTATAAGTTGTTTTACATTCTTTTAGTTTATTACAATAAAAATAAACTAATTAGGTTATATTAAGATAAATCATAAAAAAAAGTCTAGGTTTAATTTTTTTTTGTTCATGAAAAATTATAACTTTAATTTAAATATTAATTTTTTTATTAGTTTTACTAATTAAAATATACAGATTATGTAAAATTTTTTTTTTATCATTATATATAAATAGAGTAAAACTTATTTTAATCATTGACATCTTAAACATCAATTAATTAAATCTTTAATTTCATATAACTCACTTTAATTTTAATATTTTAAAATTAATTATTTTAATTATTCTTTATTTACTTTTTTTATTGTTGTTTAATATAAAAAAATAATTAAAATGAATGTTGTTTTATAAAGTTAAAGGTTAAAGTAATATTTTTAGAATATATCTGTTAATACTAACAATATAATATATTATACCAACAAATAATTTTATTCATAAATAAATTAATATGTGTTATGAATATATAAATATTACAATACTTTATTTATTAGTAAAAACTTTGAAAATCTATATTAATTTTTTTCGAGAAAAAAATTATGTTAGATGATAATTTTTAATGGTAAATATTATCACCCAATCATAAATTATTCATATAAAATTATTGAACATTTTATTTAAAAGTGATAGTTATCGTATCATTGTTTGATAGCATAAAAAATTTTATATTAATAATGTACTAAAATTAAACTCTTATTAAAAATACATAGTTTTAATCATTGTCATAATTTAAATTTTATTAATTGATAATATAATAAAAAATTATTAACTCACGACTTAATATAAATATGTCTCATCATCGTGTAAGAGAAAAAAAATTAATTACAGACTACAAACATGTATAAATTTTAATAAAATCAACAATAAGTCATATAAAATTTAAAAACTAAAATTCAAATATGCTTTTAAAAAAATTACAACTAAATTTTAATTTTTCAACTTTAATAACCTATGAGAAGTCTCACAAAATAATGGTCAAAATTAAATTATAAAAAATTATGCAATTTTTCTAAAGCTCATATAAGTTTTTTGATGTAATCATATGATTTAAAAAATTAATAATCTTAATAATCTACGTGTAAGTATAGAATAAATTACATAATATTTTAAAAATTCACATAATATTTGTATTTTACTCTTTGTCATTATGATAAAACTCTCTCACCCATATATATATATATATATATATATATATATATATATATATATATGATCATGTAAATTTTAATGATTAAATTTAATTTAAAACTAATCAACACGACGAATAAAAAGAGATATTTTTTTAAAAAAATTATAAGATTAAATTGCTTGACCTTGGCAATAATTTTTTTATTTTATTTTTCACAGAAGTTGTTATACCCATAATTTATTACTACATGTTCAAGCCATAAACGAAACAATATGCCAAGCTTAATGTTCGTTCAATATGCCCTTTTCTTTTTCTTCCAGTAAATAAATTAAAATTTGAAGTAAAAAATTTATGTTTAGGAAAATAAAAAATATTTTAGTTGAAAATAATAAAAATATTATTTAAATTAAAATAAATATTTTAGAAATATGACACTTATTTGAAGCATAATAAAAAAAAAGTAAAAGAAGTGGAGTGAAATTGGAAATGAAGAGAGAGAGAGAGAGAGAGAGAGAGAGAAAGTGAAAAAAATTGTATGGGCAACATAATAAATGAAAGGATATTTTAACACGAGAGTTAGAAAAAACAAAATCATGTCTACCGGATCTAGTTATCAATGGTTAAGTATAAAATATTATGCCATGGGACTCTTAAAATAATTATGCGACTATTAGACAAACTTTTCATGTATGGAATATGTTTAGCGAAAAAATTATTTTTATGAGAGTTAGATTAATAAACAATCATACATAAATCATTAAAATTATAAAATTTTAAAAATCACATGATCAATTAAAAATAGTGTAATTTTTCTTAAAATTACATATGACTTTTGTTTTAATTTTAAACATTTAAAAGAAGATCTGACTATTAATAATTAATTTAAAAGACATACTTACAGTAACATTGTATTTAGTTAGTTCATAGTATAAAATTTTTTACATTAATAATGCGTCAAAATTAAACTATATAGTTGTGTATAAATAATTTTTATACTTATTTTCATAATATTCATATTTTTAGAGTTGAATTTTAATACATTGTTAATATAAAAAATTGTATATTATCTATAAATTTTATACATTAATTATCATAAAAATTAAAAATTCTTATTAGTATAATTATTTATAATTAAATAATAAATATATAAATTATACATTATTAATACATCATAATATTGTTTTTATTTCACTGTTGTCTACCAACATTCGTTAATATTATTTGGTTCAGTGATGAATTTCATTTCATTCCTTCTAATTGTTTCTATCTTTTAATGCTTGAAAATTTCAACCTTTGGGTAAGTTAAGTTTTTTATTTATAAAAATAATTTAATCCACAGTATTTGTATTATTTTATCATTAAAAATGTAATGTAAATAATGTACATATTTTGTATAATTCAAACAAAAATTGTGAATACTAAATTAGAGAAACTGTTTATTTCAATCTATCTATAAGATTATTGACTTAACTCAATAGTTAGTTTCCATACTTTAAGTTACGTGTGATTTTATTTCTTTTGTTTTAATTGCTTATGCTTCATTTTTGTTTTTTAATTGTTTAAATTAAGTCTTTCACTTAAAAATTTTATTTAATAATTAATAAAAATATAACAAACATATAATATATCATTGATTTATATAATTTTTTAAAGAAAAAATATCTAAAATAATTAAATAAAAATAAAAATACATTATATAAATAATTAACATAATATTTTAGTATATGATATAAGAGGAATGATCTTTTAAACGTAAATTAAATAAAAAATTAAGATAGTGTGTAAAAAATTTTAGACTTATAGTAGTATAAAAATATCTTGTACCATGATATAATATAAGTGTGAAAAAAATTAGTATAAAAATATCTAAATTTAAAATATTATATAAAAAAAATTACATCTTTTTTCAAGTTAAATATACTTTATACTAGCTTATAAGTTTGTTTGATTATGATAAAAAACATTTTTTAATGAAAAATATATTTTAGATATCTTTATAAAGTTATATGTATTTTAAAAAATTCAAAACTCCTAAATGACTATTTTTATTATTTCACTTAAAAATAGAAATGATCACTTCTCTAAAGAATAATAATTTTAATAATAAAAGTACTCACTCTCTCTCTCTCTATCTCTCTAATGCACTCTATATTAAGTGTTTAGAAGGCATATGACTTGTAATTACTGCACTGGACTATATAAATGCTCGCCTTAGTAGTTTTGGTATTCAACAAAATTTAGCTTTCTGAAACAATCATGATGATGAGGTCTAAAGGGTCTTTAAACTATTTCATAATCGTATTTTGCTTCATAGTGAGTACGGTTTTTGCTGAAAGCTCGAATTATGGTTCACCCCGACCCCCACTTAGAGATCCTCATACTCCAAGTACAAGAAGATCTCCTCCTCCTCCTCCTCCTCCTCCTCACATAACACATTTTCCACCTCCACATTCACATTCACACTCACCGCCACCCCCACTCACCACAAACTCAACTAAGTCACCACCACCACCACCTCCACTACCACACTCGCGGCCGCCACCACCTCCTTCACAGTCACCACCACCTCCACCACCATACTCACCGCCACCACCTCCACCCCTCACCCTAAACTCAACTAATTCACCACCACTTTCACAGTCACCACCGCCACCACCCCCCCTCACCCCAAACTCAACTAATTCACCACCACCACCTCCTTCACAGTCACCACCACCTCCACCACCACCACCACCCCTCACCCCAAACTCAACTAATTCACCACCACCTCCACCATCACACTCACCGCCACCCCCTCCACCCCTCACCCCAAACTCAACTAATTCACCACCACCACCTCCACCACCACCTTCACAGTCACCACCGCCACCACCACCCCTCACCCCAAACTCAACTAATTCACCACCACCACCACCACCTTCTTCACAGTCACCACCGCTGCCACCACCTCCACCCCTCACCCCAAACTCAACTAATTCACCACCACCACCTCCTTCACAGTCACCACCACCTCCACCAGCACACTCGTCGCCACCACCACCACCACCACCTTCACAGTCACCACCTCCACCACCACCACCGCCACACTCACCACCGCCACCACCCCTCACTCCAAACTCAACTAATTCACCACTACCACCAACTTCTTCGCAGTCACCACCACCTCCACCACCACCCTCACCGCCGCCACCTCCACCCCTCACCCCAAACTCAACTAATTCACCTCCACCACCACCTTCACAGTCACCACCTCCCCTCACTCCAAACTCAACTAACTCACCACCACCTCCACCCCTCCCCCCAAACTCAACTAATTCACCTCCACCACCACCTTCACAGTCACCACCTCCCCCCACTCCAAACTCAACTAACTCACCACCACCACACTTACCACCACCTCCACCCCTCCCCCCAAACTCAACTAATTCACCACCACCCCCATCACCTTCACAGTCACCTCCTCCTCCTTATAAAACTCCTTCCCCACCTTCACACTCATCACCACCTCCACCACCCCCGTCAAAAAATCAAACTTGTATTGTTATTAAAAATATTAAAATATGCATTTGATGCATCAGCAGCTTCTCCTTTTAACACTTTTCCACAATGTTTAAACACCTCACTCTCACTTTTATAATCTTTGCCAATAATGCCCTTGATGCTACAATACTTCACCTTGGTGGGCGCGTTGTAATGATATCCTAATTTCAATAAATTATCTCCACGTACGTCTTATCAACTTGACAATTCATTCGCCTACATCCATGGCATTTCAAGGTTTCAATTGTTTGCTTTGTGTCAGTGTTTTCTTCTTGTAATGCTTGCGTGGAACATTGTTCCATGAATAAAAGTTTATTTTTGTGTTAACATGAAAATGATCAAATATTTTATTTATCTTTTTTGTTTGCAGTCAATAATCAAATATTGAATTAGACAAATTCAACTTCTACATACTATTGCCGTATACACATATTCGTATTCGTACACCCAGACACGTGTTTTATATATATATAACAGACACGTGTTATATATATATATTTATATTTATTGTTGCCGGTCTTTCCAGAGAAAAAAGTATTGCTCAAGTCAATCTTAAATTGAATTCTACACAAAAAATTGGCTGTAATTATAATTTAATTATTTAAAATATTTATAATTTTTTTACAAATTAATAATCTGTAATAATAATTATATAGATATTTGATTTTCACAAAAATTTGAAACAAATAATCTATATAATATATAATTATAATTTAACGGTTGAATTTACAAAAATTATAATTTATTTATATTTTTGTTTTAAATCTTTTGTTACTAATCCATCGTCCTTAAATAATTGAGTCAAACCAAAAAGTCATCATCTAGTCTAAAAATAGTTTTTTATATTAATTAAAAATAAATTTTTACATTAATTACAAAATTGACGTAGATATAAGTAATATAATAAGCAATAATATTTTACATCAATTAAACAACTAATATAGAATAAATTTTCTACAATGATTCTATTATAACCGGTATAAAAGTGTCTATATTAAACATTGGTTCTACACTAAACCAATATTAAATGTTCTTTTCTTTTTTACATCACAAATGCTATAATCACTCAAAATTGTCAATATTTTTACATTTAATTGATGTAGAATTTTTATTTTTTTAATATATATTTTTTTTACATTATACTCAACTTTGATAAACAGATATAAACACAATGTAGAATATATAATATTCATTTATAATTAAATATATTATCATAACACTTAATTTTTATAAAATAAGATATAAAATCTAATTGTCACTGTATCTTGCATAATGTGTAGTTTAAACCTGAAAAAACAACAAAGTATGTCCTATGCATTAAAATATGTATGATTCAAGTTCCAAAATTATTCATGAACTAATAGTATCTCAAGCAATTTTTTTCAATGGATAATTTCCACTTTAGATAATTGATCAATATCTTTAAATATCTGGTTCAAATTATAAAAAAAAATTATATAACATTGATAATAATATAAATACTACAATGTGTTTAAAATAATTAATAAATATAGGCATTAAAGCTAGAAATCAATAAAATTTAATTGAGAATAAAAAATGAAACTTAAACATTAAACTATAACAACTACCTTAATTGAAAAAATTAAATATTAAATATAGTTTAAAAAAATGTACACGTGAATAAATTTATGTAGACCTTTTTTTTTTCATTAAGTGCTTATTCTCCTAGACATTGGATGTTTCCATACATTTATAATGAATAAATATATTCATCTAAAGTGAACAATAATATATATGACATACAATTTGTAACAAGTAGTTTAAGAAACTTATGAGACGTCCTTACTACACATGTGGTCAAATGTCTTACATTTTCAAGGTATTTTTGGTTTACGTCCATGATATTTTTCTATTTTTAGGTTCAATATTTCAAATTTATCTTTCAAAGTTTGTTCTCATCATTTGTCATGTAGTCCATAGGTCCAAATATGTCTAAAAGTTCAAAGGTCTTAATCATGGTCACTTTCCATTTTTTTAATCCATTTCTTTTAGAAGTTTTTTACTGATTGGGTATTGGGTGATCTAATTTTGTGGGATTCAAGTAAAGTGTTGAAGATGAATTTTGATGTGTTTAGAGAGAATAAAGATGAAGAAGAATGAAAAATTATTTAGACTTGTATGAAAAATGTTCTTCCCTTTTGCATGCATGCCTTTAAATAAAGTTTTTGATTGATTTGATCTCCTTCTCTCACAAGTGTTGAAATTCAATTTTGGTCTCTTTTATTGACTTCTTCTTCATCTTTAGTAAGATGAAGAAGAATGAAAAATTATTTAGACTTGTATGAAAAATGTTCTTCCCTTTTGCATGCATGTCTTTAAATAGAGTTTTTGATTGATGTTGGCCCCTCCCAAAAGAACCTCACTGCTGATCTCCTTCTCTCACAAGTGTTGAAATTCAATTTTGGTCTTTTTTATTGGCTTCTTCCATCAGCCTACACATATGCACATTTTCAAAAGTCCAAATTGCCCTTTCATGACTTTTGTACTTCTAGTTGGATTTTAACCTTCCTAGTTTCATTTTAATCATTCCAATTACCATTTAAAACCTATCTTATTCAAATCCAATGGCCAAGTTCATGGTTCAATTAGAACCATTGGATGGGAATTAATCCAACTATTAACACAAATTACTCATTATTAGCCTTATCTCCTTAATGATTATCTTGTTGACTTGGCTTGACTTCATTGGCTCTTGTGGAATATACTCATCCAGATGGGATTGAGCTATAAGTAACCTTATCTCTTAATCATAATTAGTCTCACATGAGCTCCAATGGGTCATATAACTCCTTGTTACTATTCCTAGCCCACTTTCCTTTATTTACACTTAATTTTTAAGCCTCTTTTTGGGTAATTTCTATACTTGCTCTTTTGACTCCATACTTGCACGTCCAAAATATATACAAATGCATTATCCACCATAAAAGTTTTCAGAATATATCTCCTTCATTTGCTTGTCCAAAATGGGCTTTCATTCTACAAGACTTAATTTAAATACATCCAAATTTTCAAAAATAATTTTTTAAGTCCTATAGCGGTTCCATCCATCCCTTCACTGAGTCTAATACTAATCGTCTTGGTCACCTGAAAAATAAAAGTGAGGATGAGTACTCTATACTACCACACACAAGCACAGAGACTCACCTCACATACTACATACATTTCTATCATCATTCAAATCACACATCAAGCAGGCATTAAATAATACATTTTCAATATTTCATTTCAATTCACAAATAGGTGCGCTCACTACACCATCAACCAATCCATATACATGTGCGCTCATTGCATGTAACCACGCTCACTGTGCCACTGTGATCACAGATTCCTGATGCCCTCAACCTCAGGGACTTACTCAGTTTCACACTAGGGATGGTCGCCGCATAGCTCCCGCTTCATGGATATAACGTGTGCGGTACTGGGCTCCCCAAGCAAAGGTGATAGTCAGAGGCCGAATCAGGAGGAGAGTGTGTGGCCTGTGGTGCACCCACGCTCACTATTAGTGTCACCACCATCCTTTCTTCCCCAAGGTATTTCTACCGTCCCATTTTCCCACCCCAATGTATCATTGAACTATTCATAGTTTTCTAACATATTCAAACACAACCATCATGCCATTCACACGTATTTTCAATCATCTTACATGATTCAATATCAATCAATGGCATGTCTACATATACATTCACCCACATTTGCAATCACATCATGACATTCACTTATACACATGGCATGTATGTGCACATTCAATCACATTCCACTTAAACATTCAGTTTTCATTAAAACTCCATCACAATCAAGTCACTTCATCACACAATATCAACTGACGTCTAATATGTCATGTCCAGCACAAAATGTCCATCAAAACACATATATTCCTACATCCTATCTCAATCACATTACAACATATAGCAAAATAAATAGATTTCAAGCATAATGAGATAAGGTAGAGTCTTCCCTTACCTTGGAATGAAGACCCACAACACAGATCAATAATGGAAGTGCTCCTCACACAAATTTTCATCATAATATAGGGAAAACTCCATGAGAAACTGAGGAGATCAGAGAGAGAATGAAAATCATAAACCCTAGTTCATAAAAATTACCTCCAAACGTCCAAAACACAGCCACAACCTTCAATCTTGCACTCAAATGGCTTTGGAGGTAGTTTAATTGATGAAATAAGGCTGAAAATTGAGAGAATCGAAAGAGTGTTCGAAGGAAGAAGTGGGAAATGAGCTACCTTAACTCTAAGTCCTTCAAATACCCTAGGATTTGCGACACTTTCGCTATAGCGAGACATTCTCGCTACAGCGATGCATCTCCTCGCTGTAGGAAAAATTTTAGATGAATCTGCATTTTAATTTTTGCAGAATCTTGCTACAGCGAAACCCTCTCGTTATAGCGAGATTGCACCCAAAAATGCACTCTCCTCTGTTGTCCTCTCGCTGCAGCGAGAACGCAACAGATCCAGTCCTCTTGCCAAGGACTTTCTCTTTACAGCGAGAATACCTCTGCAACACACACTTAACCTATTTCTCAATCAGCCCAAACATATCCAATTACACACCAAATATCCTTAATACAGAATCAACATCCACATTATCACACATATACACATATATGTCACATCATTATATACATCAAATACACGTTCAAATAACAATCCACATGTTTATATTAATAATCAAACAATATTCGGGGCATTACAAGAATAGCCGAAAATACGAAATTAAAGTATTTTTGTATAACAAGCCCAATTTATTTCAATTATTAGGAAATGGTAAAAACTCAAAAATAAAGTATATGAAAAGTGTTTAGGAATCAAAATAAAACAATGAATGTGAATATAAAATGTCACATCAGGAGTTCCTATAATTACTTGATCTTAAGTAAATTCATGTG